ACTATAAAGTTTAAAATTGGGACTGTGTATTTGCTTAATGACTTGTATCGGTTAAATAATGATCAGGATACGAGTGATTAAAAAACTCCTAATCTTTGGTTTAACGATGATTGCCCTAGTGTTAAACAGAATTTAATGCATTCCATTAATTGAGCTTCGGGTAACAATAATAATTATGTTAACTTAAGCTGTTTTCGTGTATTTGATGCAGAAATTTTGTGTATAATTCATCTTAAAAATAAAAATATCCGTATTATATTTTGTTTTTTGATAATTACTTAAATAAATATTGAAATTTTTCAAAAACACGACGATCTNCAAATTGCGCAGATATAAAATTATAAAAAAAAGGTTAGAAAACTTTTTACTTATATACAAACGCAAGTTAAAGATATATATTAATAATTAATGAATACATTATTAAATTTAATAGTATTGTAAAATATATATATATATATATACAGTATATTAGCAAGCAGTACACTTCCAACTTCGAACGACATTTAAACTAAAATGTCAACAATAGTTGAAATGATTGTACTGTATTATAAAATTGTACTAACAATTTTACTATGCAGAATAAAGCTAAAAGTTACTTTTTTAATGAAGCTATTTCATACGTAGGCTTAACTTATATGCATACATTATCACAAAAATTTCAATTTTCATTTTTCTGAAACGAAATGATTAATGTAAATAAGAAATGATTTTTTGGAGAGAAGTGCATAATATGGAATTAGCCGTACTTTAGAATTACAAACAAACAGAAAATAAATGCAAATAATTTAAATTGTTAAAATTATAATTAGTAATATGTTAAGTAAATAAAATTTATTTTTTTCAAAGTAATAGCTGCTATTAACGCTTAGTTTGTTACGTATGATCACTTATTGATAAAGTTTAATACAGGAATTTTATAAAATTTTAATTGATTTTAATGTATTTTTTACGATCTCGTAAATGCTCAATTGTTTTAAAATTAGAAAAAAAATAAAAATACAAAGCATCCAAATTTCAGAAACTGCTAGATATGAAAGATATTTTAAAGTATAGAAAAGATAATTTTATACTAGCAACGTTGAAATTGTACAGACATTCCTGCGATAGAATGTCTATACAATTTCAAAAAGATCATCGAGAGAGCACATTCCATAGGATAAACTGATCGAAATCGATTTCTAGAGGATTCTACGAATCTTTCGCGATAAGTTCGACATAATACTGTAATTCATAGTATAACTATTAGATATATTAAATAGTTTTGTGTGAAAGGTGCCAAATTTGACTTTACTAAATGATTGTGGCAACAATTTATTTCGTCCAATGTTTGGACATTTCGAATGTAACAAGAATAAGCGAAAAAAATCTGTTCTAAAGTTCACTTTCGATCTTTTTCAATGCCTCTTTTAAAACATTCTCAGAGTTAGCGTTCTTTTATACAAATTGTAATTGAATTCTCATTGCAAAATTATCGCAATAAAAAATTAATATTGAAATAGACAAAAAAAATCTAAATTGCCTAATTTTAAACTTCATACAAAAAATTAATTGAATGTAAATCATTGATATTCATTAGAAAATTCTTAATCATGTTATGCCAATGGATTACAATGTAATTAACTTCCTTAACATTCGACAAATTTCATTTCCATCAGAATACAAACGCGTGTATTATGTATGGTTTATTTAAATATAAATTCTAAAAAGCTTAGACTTAGATCTAATTAAAGATTTTGAAGTATTAACATAACAAATTATATTAATCAAATACAAAGATAAAATTTTGACTGCTTTTAATTATTATTTTAAATTTCGATTAATATATATGCGTTATTTATTTGTTTTATCAGATAAAGTACGAATTATTAATTTAATGAAAGTATTGTGTTTCTTATTTTTAGATATTTGCATATTTTTAATTAGGAAATGCAATTTTATAATTAAAATTACGAGAAAATTATTCTTTGCGAGATTCGAGAAAAACAAACTCATAAATGCACAAAATAATTCATATGCAATAATTATTTTGATGAATTAAATACATTGCTTAGTCATTATAAAAATTGAAATTATATTAGAATTGAATTAGTATCAAGCAAAATTGCTTAGATATCTTAATATTTAGACATTATATTGTAGAATTACCGTAAAAATAATCACAATATATTTCTTAAAATAACATATAGGCCTATGTACATTCTTGTCACTTAATGGCTTAATAAAAAGTACCACACAAGGATATATTATTGCATTTCTCATATATGTAAGGCAAATTCCTTATTGCTTAATGTTTATTAAAGGTAAAATAATTATTATGCCATATTCAACTTGTATTTTATATTTAAAGTTAGATTATTTTAAAAGAGATGAAAATAGTTTTAAGGAAAAAAAAATTGTTGGATTTTATTTAATTTGCCTAACCGTCCAAATGCGATATTGGTCGATGCAATTTACAGTTGAAATCAGAAAACTTTCAATATCTCCTCTTATTTATTCGATGACTTTTTCGATTTATACACATTTATATCTTTAAATATATAACGAGAAGTAATCAATTCAGTTCCAGATAATTGACGTTTCTATTCGTTGTATATTAATACAAATTTGAATGTGAACTTATCTCAAAATTCGCCATTTTGCACTTATGGGAATTCGATCAAAATTATACTTAAATACTCTTCTAACGAAATATATTTTATAGATTGAAATATTTGGCAATTTACTTTAAAAATGTGCGATATCAGCTAAGATTCTATTAACATATTGGGAATTTAACATAACGTCTCTTTCCCTTTAAAAAAAACGAAAAGAAAAAAAATTTACGTGGAAATGAGCCAACGAAAGATAAATTTAGCTAGAAAGTTGTTACGTTAAATTACACCCTGATATAATTTACGATACGTTGAAATGTATATTTTCTCGAAAGTTAAGACTGGTTCTTACTAACAAATGTTAAGATTCGAGATTTCATTGTAATCTACTATTTTAACCATCGTCTACGGGAAACGATGGATATTTTACAAGGTAGGTTAGTATTTCTAATTTTTTTAAAAACTCATTTACGAATAATTCTAAAAATATATAATGAATAAGCTATTCATTGTTCTGTTAATAAGCATACTTTTTGTAGTGTTTCGTAACTTATGCTGTATTTGTCTTTAGATTTAAGAAAAAGAATTGGAGACACATTATTAGTACAAGTAAATTTTGTGAAAATGAATTATATAAGTGTATAATTTAAGTAAAACTTTCATTTGCTTAAGCAAATAAAGTTTATGAAAATATCCGTTCCTTTGTAATAAGCATACAATAAACTGCAGTTGTCAATGCCTAATTTTTGTTTAGCAAAGAATTATCGAATATTTTTTAAATTATTTTTTAATATGAAAATGCTGTTGAACTTCTAATGAACTGAAAAAATAATTTCTTCAAGAATAATATTTCTTATAATTTATTTTAAGTTTATGTGAATTTTCTCCGAATAAAGAAAACATATAATATACATTGCTTAGAAATTTAATCATGTTATTACATGTTATGTATATTATCAAAAATCCATAGATCAAACAATAAAATGTATAATTATAATACTATTTTAAAATAATTGTACAATCGTCTTCTAATATATCGTAATAAAAATGTATTATATCGATTTGGTAAATATTGGAAAAATTGAAAAATAATTTTACTTTTAATCTTTTGTAATAATTCTATCGACTATTTTTCATCTTTAATAGAGTATTTTATACTTAATCATAACGTATAGACAATTTTCCTTAATCAGTTTTCCAGTTGAATATTAATACAGTATACCAGTATAAATAAAATTTTAGAAATTATATCATCTTTCATGTTCTCTAAGATATTATATAGAGTGTATCTGAATCCCGATCAGAGAATTTGCATACATAAACTACTCGTTCAGAGTAAAATAAGTAAAAAAGTTCTAGTAAACGTGGATCCTAAAAGCATCTGTTTTTAAAATAACTGTTATTCAAAACAACTTTGTGTCAGTGGTGCAGGCTGATCTGTTAACCAAGCCTCACACTTTTTTGTTACTTTCAAGGCCCATGTTTACTACAAACTTTTTTACTTATTTTCAATTTTTGTCACAAATTTTTTTAATGTTCAAGTCGTAAAAACCTTGATTTAATCATTAAAAATTCAATTAGTAATTGTTTTAAATCGGATAGTTTAGATTAAAAAAATTATTATTCGTCGATCGTATGTAAATTTTCTGACAGGGATTCAGATACACTTGTATGGATGTATGCATATATAACCTATATCTTATATTTTTAAACCAAGCAGCTATTTTCTCAATTAACTTTCGGTGCTAATAAATTGCAAAAGAAAATACATTTAAGAAACAAAAAACAGGAAATTTAGCTAACGTAAATAAAAAGTGAAATTAATCAAATTCAGATGTTGTTGCCTCAATGACATGGTTACGATAATCTTATCTAAGAATTTTTTGAATAATAACTTATTTTGAAGGTGAAAAATAGAATTCTTGCCCAACCAGGAATATAATGACACCATGATAAATGGTGACGCACAGCATGGTCATCAAGTTGTCAGAATTTAAGCTTATTACATATTTTTCTAGGCTTACATAAATGTAATTCTTTATGTAAAGAAATATCTCGATTTTAAAATATAGGTGTAGATATAATCAATACATTGTAAAAACAAAGAACAAGTAACATTTATTAGGAAACATACGCATTATACCGATATGCTGATATAATTATATTCTGTTCAAAGTGTTATTTAGTTTAAGTACTCTCTTAAAACGTTCCCAGTAAACAAGTAAATACTTTAAAAAGTATGAGAATATTTGTTTTCAAGATTATTGGTTTTATGTTTAATATCAATCGTGATTTTTGTTAAATTTATATGTTAAGTTTTTGGAAGATGATTTATCTCGTCGTGTAAGTAAAAATATTATATGATTTTTTATTGTGATATGCTTAAAAATAATTAATTAAAATAATCACCTGAGCATGGATTTTCGACTTTCATTCGACTCTCTTCTTACTCGAGATCTATTAACGATATCGGTATTCCTAATATCACTAAGAGTTGCACTAGTTGTCATTTTCGACGTTAGTTTTTTCAATACGTCGTCCATTGATCTTCGACTTCCCGTTTTGCTTACTGCTTCTGATGACATATGACTCATTGTTTGTCCCGAAGTCGTTATTGGACGTTGATGAGCATAATCTGTACTCTGACATCCCTCAGAATCATATTCTGAATCTGTAGCTGTTTCCGATCGAGCTGAAGACGAGACGCTTTGAAGTAATCTTTGTTTACGATTGGACATTAAAGTATTTGGTCTTTCGGCTCCATCACTCGTCAAACTGTCACACGAATCGACGTCGCCATTATCGACTCTAATGCAATATTCGTCATCGTCGTCGTCTTCTAGGTGACAAGACAAGAGTGGATCATCTTCGTCTGGATCTTTCTCTTCGTCATCCATATCCAAACCATTTTCGCTGTCTAACCTACCACTCACAGAACAATTGTTTAATTCATCTGTTGACAATTTGGTAGGAGGGCTTTTCCGTTTAGAGGACATCCTCCTGTAAGAAAAATAATTACTATTATAATTGTCAATTTTGCAAATATAATTAATAATTTTTTAAAAGAAAACATTATTAACATGATATATGTAAATATAAATTAATTAATATAACGCATACTTCATTTATTTTAAAATTTATTTCCATCTGATCATTTTTTAATTTATTATAGCGCTTATATCATTTTAATTTGTGGATTTAAAATACATTAAAATATTTTAAAATATATATAATATTTAAATATCAGTACTATACATCAATAAAATTATTTTTTATGATAATAAATGTTTTAATATATTATTTATAAACAATTTATTAGTATTAAAAGTAGGTTGAAACATTCAATTAAGAGTTTTCATGAAAAATGTAATTTGTATCGCTTAAATCTAACCGTGTTACGCATAGCTCACGGGCACTGGACAATAAAGGATACGAGATAAGCGTTTAGAACTAGTATACTACATTAATTCAAAAGTTACAGTAACATTTGTCAAAAATAAATAAAAAAATAAGGAAAGTTCAGTTTTATTTTATGAATTAAACTTTGATAATTTGACGTTTAAAAGTACGGAAGAGAATATTTAAAGTAAAACGAGAAAAATTAACAATTATGATTAAAGGTTACAACTAATAAATATTCTGACATATTTGTAATATTTTTATGCATATCTTAATTATAATAATCTCCACATTTGATTTCATAACAATTATTACAGTTTTCAAAAGTTTAATGGAGGAAAAAATCAAAATGAAAGTAATTCTATGAAAGAATAAAATCAAAACTTTTTTCCCTCTTTTAAATTCTAATTTTTATCGGTCTTTATTTCTGACCTACATCAAATTTTATTTACTAGTTTTATTCGAATTATTATTTTACTATTCTCTATTATTATTCTGTAGTTGGCTTCAAATAAACCAATCTTTCAACAAGATATTATTAACGTTCTCTGAAAATGAACATTTGAAAGTTGTGTGAATTATGACATGAAACAGATGTCGATAAAATAAGAAAATGATAGGAAAAAATTTGGTAATAAGTAATGCTATCAATTCAGATTGTTAAATTAAATGAATGTGAATAGTGTTAGTGTTTAAGAATAAAATGAATTTATTTATTCAAATCAAATGTTTTTCACATATACGTTACTGAGATCATAGACTTGAAACTTGTATTAATTCGATACAGATGTAAGCTAACGTCTTTGATTTATATAGATACAAATTTATGTTTTAGAAGAGAGATAAGAGTTTAGATTATATATATTATTCAATCACATTAAACTATACAAGTTTTCAAAATTAATATTAAGGGCGTAAATGATAAAGAGTTTTAAACTTGCAAAGCAAAAATATGTCTATCATAATTTGTAACTTTAATAAAGTACTGTATATCAATAATTAATAATAATTTTGTAAGAAGTTATTAATATTTTTCTAATTATAACTCTAAGATGATGTTACAAATGGATAAAACATGTAAAGTAATACGTTTTCAAACGAAATTCCTAATTACTATAACTTGTGAGTTGGCCCACTGTTGTCATGTGTTCTTCAATTATTTAAGCGTCCACTGAAATTTTCAAAAGGTATACGACGATAGTAAATTACATCTTATTCTACAAATGTGTTTCCTTAAATTAGTACAAAAAAAGTAAATATAAGTGTCAAGAAATATCATTTAAAATCATTTATAAATAACAACAAATATTCTGTAAGATGTATATTTATTTGAAATAAAATAAACGAATAAAGTTATTCCATTAGAACGCGTGTTTTCTTTATAAAATATAAAAAATGTAAAAGCTAAAGTCATGTTTGAAATTTATTTTGTGTATAACAATAATGCTTGAAACTCGAACGAAACTCTTAAGGTTGATGGAAAGTCTTTATCAATATAAGTTACTTCGGAATTGATCAAATAATCCAACCGGTATTATATAAAGACGATAGTGGTCCGGCAAAGAAATGGAGAAAAGCTTTTTTTGCTGCATAACTGATTGCAGAGGCGACCAAACCACGCCTCATTAGGAGCATATCCGCTCTACCGACACACCTCATCCATCTAAATACATCAGTGAGTCACAGTTTCACAATATCAACCACAACAGAGACGTATGCGTTTCCCATTTCTTCGCAAATGCGCCACGCATTATGAATGTCATGTTATTTTTTATTTTAAAATGTTTGGTATTGTATAGACTTTGGAGAGTAAAGCGTTACCCGCAGAGTGTTTCAATCGTTTCATTTCAACTCCCCTCTTCAAAACATTGTATAGAATGAGGTAGAAATGCCTGTAAAATTGAATGCAATTTTCCTGACCGAATATATTTATTCTTCGAAAGCATATATTTAGAATACTTTAATGGTCAAACAGCAATTTTACAATTCGGTCTTTTTTGGATTTGTAACAATATCTCTTGGCCGATTCAATATAGTCGATCCAGCTTATATCGGTTAAACAATTTCCAAGATTATTTATATTATTATAAAAATAATAAAACACGGCAAGTTTAAAGTAAACTGCGAGAATTGGATATATTTCTTTTCCATTTTCAGGCGATAAACCCACATTTTTGGCACTCAAAATGGAAAAGTTACCGACCTCTGATTAAATGATTATTTATAATTTTAATACTTATTTCAAAAATTCAACTTTGTGTATTAAGGTAAGATTGATTATAATAATTTACCTTAATTACCATTGTACAATAGGCATATTGATAATTATTGTAAAAAATAATAATTTCAAGAACACTTAACTAGGAAGAGAATATATTTAATTTGGGAAGTGGAAATTTTTATTCGATTTTTAGCAACTTTTATGTTTGTAAAAATAGTTTAATACTTCATATTTCAATAAAAATAAGTATCTAAAAACTTCATTATTATATTATCCTTGGATGTGATTGTAATTTTGTATTATTCGAAATGTAATGAATCTAATATCAAAAAATCCTATATAATTTTAATAATGTGGAAACTCGAAACTAAATTAGATCCAACCGATGTTTGTCCAATTAGATATTAAATTCATTTCATCAAAAAAATCCAGTACTAGCTGGTTGCATATTATAATTTATTTATGAAAATAAAATTCGACTTGTACATAACTAGATCTGCTTTAAAACTTCCATTCCTCTAAATAAATTGCGTATAAAATTCTGAACAAGAATAAGAAATAATATTGTAAGATGAACTCATTTCGACTTAAAATTAATACTAATCGTAATATATCTAAATGAATTAATTATAAAGTAGTCGAAACTGAAATGATAGGGTTAGGTTTAGTAATCTTTAATTTAAAAAGATCAAAAACTATAAAGTTTAAAATTGGGACTGTGTATTTGCTTAATGACTTGTATCGGTTAAATAATGATCAGGATACGAGTGATTAAAAAACTCCTAATCTTTGGTTTAACGATGATTGCCCTAGTGTTAAACAGAATTTAATGCATTCCATTAATTGAGCTTCGGGTAACAATAATAATTATGTTAACTTAAGCTGTTTTCGTGTATTTGATGCAGAAATTTTGTGTATAATTCATCTTAAAAATAAAAATATCCGTATTATATTTTGTTTTTTGATAATTACTTAAATAAATATTGAAATTTTTCAAAAACACGACGATCTTTATTATTATTTTTTTAATTTTTATGTTTTAATTCGTGCAATAAATTTAAAACATCTATTTTCAAAAAAACAAAATTGTTTAGAACATTAAGTATTGGTTGTACTGTACCTATTCATAACTTATGTAGACATTTGAATAACAACATATATAAGTTATTTAAAGATATTTAATATTACGATTTGGTAATTTAAAATTTTATAAATTACAATATAATATATTAAAAATTAATAGCAAACGTCTCTTCCCGTATTTTTGGTTTATAATTTCATTATTATTTAAAACCAAAACGTTCATAAATTCTGTTTGAAACAGTTCTTTTAAAAAGGAAATTTCTTCGAGTCAAATTACAATTTTTGTCGATTGCGATAATGCATTCGCATAAAATTTTATTCTTATTGGCTAATGGAGCGACCGTTATCACATTGGTTTTTCTTAACGGATAATACAGTAGAAGCCTTCGTCAAATTGATCGTCTTTTCGACTTTTCCTTTTTGACAAATTTATGCAAACATTTAGAAAAGATAATTGAAGATGAATTTATCTACATTTATTTAAAATTAATTAATTTTTTTCTTGTATCTTTTCATTGTTTTTTGGTAAGCTTAACATTAAATAAAATGAAAATAATTTTGAATCGAAAAGTGCAACTAATAGTTTAAAAATTAATTTTGTTTGTAAAAAGTATTATTTATAAGTTTATTTTATATAAAATATATTAAATGGCCATTAAAGTCGCGTAAATTCGATAACGAAAGACTTCTTAAATATAACAATCGCCGTACGACTTCAATACGGTAAGTAATTAACGTGATTATAAAATCAGTTTATATAAAAATTTCCTTGCGGTCGAAAATAATATTAAATATATTCATCGTTTACAAGATTTTCGTGAAATAAGTAGGTTATGATATTGGGTGAAGGAGATTAAAACTTCGTTTATTGAATTATTCATTTATTCGATAAATTAACAAGGATAAGAAAAAAGAAAGGGGAAAAAGAACCAAAGAAATGTAGTAAATCGGGTCATTTCCGAGACAAAATTTTCAGAAATTTTAAAATATTTATTTGAATTTTTAGTAATAAAATCATTATTTCGACATTATAGGCCTATAAAGTAATATTTCGTCGAATAAGACAGAAACTGGCATCTTAAAAAAGTAATTGTTAAGTCGAAAGAGAAAAAATATATAATTTCGGATAACGACTCATTGATTTATTATAAGAAAAAGTTATTAAAAAATATTTTTAAAATTGTTTTTAATCCAGAAAAATATCAGTTACTTGGCAATTTGAACTGTTAAGATTATTTGATTTAAAAATTGAATTTCATTTATTATTAAAATTTAANATTTAATTAATGTTCCCAGT